CGACCACGAAAATCTTCAGAAAAAGAAAACAGTTCGATTCTGATAGAGTTTCATTTGCTCCCAAACAACGAAATGAAAGAAACAATCGCGCCTTTACATTTTCAACAAGACAAACCACAATGGCTGCTCGTTTGAATCGAAATAGAAACGAACGTCGAAGTTCTTCTACCGCTTCTACAATGAGAACCACCACCTCTTCTAAGCCAGAAATGATTATCAAAACCAACAGACCAATTTCGTCAACTACACCAAGGCAAACGACGACCAAAACTCGAAAACCTCGGAAGAAGACACAAAGTCGAAAAGCTGATCCTACAACCACCATCACAACCACAGCAACCATGAGGACCACGACCACCATGAGAACAAGACGAACAACTTCCCATCAGTCGAGACGAACCACGACAGAACCTCGTACGAAACGGACGACGTCTGCCCCTGAAACGAGACAAACAACCATCACCACTCAGAAGACTCGGAATGATAGAAGAAGACGCGGGCGGCCCACTACCACCACTCCAAGATCGACTACCATTACTCCAAGATTCACAACCACTACTCTAAAATCCACTTTCACCGGCCGAAGGAAGTTCAAAGGACGCGGATAAGATCATCTTGTTGCAACCGATATTCTTTTTTTTTGTGTTCTGAACTATTTATCCTCTCTAATTCTTATATGCCACACCTTTTAGTCTTATACCTTCTTCTGAATAAAAATCAAAATTACAAAAAAAATTATTTTTAAAACATCAAAACTATTGAAAACATGATTGGAATAAATAAACGTTTCAATCTAACCAAATTTTCAAACAAAAACATGAAAGCTATTCAAATACCCACATCTTTCTTTAAGGACCAGAATTTTTTTTAAGGACCAGAATTTTTTTTTAAGGACCAGAATTTTTTAAGGACCAGAATTTTTTTTAAGGACCAGAATTTTTTTTAAGGACCAGAATTTTTTCTAAGGACCAGAATTTTTTTTAAGGACCAGAATTTCATACTAGAGCCGAATGTCCTGTGTTTTGTGGCCAATGAAATATGGAAAAATCTGGAAAAAACCAATGAAGTGGATATTGATTCCTATTTTTCTTATTCCGTTTTCAATCGACTGGAATCTGATGATATCTAGAGTTTACATGCAACCAACTTTTGGAGGATTTTATATGGAATACATCAAGAAGGTTTCGTGGGTAACTATCTTACTAATAATTTGAAAAATCAACAAAAAATTATATTTCAGGCTAGCCAATCTCGTTTTCAACTAGTTTTTATCATTATAGCTCTTGTATCCACTATCGTGTGTACTTCCGTAACATTCTACACTCTAATTATGCTCCCGAAAAGAATTCGAAGTGTTGAAAGAACTCTATCTTTGGCAACAGCTTATATTTCGATGAGTTTTATTGTTCTAGCTGTTTTCCAAGTAAGAACAAAAAAATTAAATTTAATAAGTGAGGAATTAAGATTTTGTTCGCTTTCTTCTCCTATCTTTTCACAACAAGTGCTGTTTTTGGATATGCTCTTCTGTCCTACGATTTTTTGAATGTTGGGTAAGTGCGATAATGAAAGAAAACTAGATGTGTCAAATATTCAGATCTCCAATCATCATGATTTGTATGAGCAAGAGACTACGCCGACACACTTTTGGTATAGAAGATGGATCTCAAGTTACACGAGTGTTTTCAAAAACAATTACTCAAGTGTAAGGATGCAAATGAGAGTAAATGTAAAAAATAGGATATTTAGTCTGAACGATGGAGAAAAAGAACAAGAAAGAAGGTTAAGGGACTCTCTAAGCAAAGTGAATATACTATAGTAAATCGGATGACGTCAACATTATTCATTCTAAGTTTTCAATAAAGTTTGATAACTATTTAATCAAGTTTGAGTTTTTTAACATAACCGGATTTATTAAAATTGTGACAAGAACTGCTCAATCAACAGAAAAGAAACAAAGATTACTTCAAAGTTAATAGGTGCAGAACACTGGAGCTTTTGATGTATCCTTAGGAGTCCACGGCTTTTTAGGTTTTCCTAGAACTGGAAGAGGATCTGATTCTGTGTTGATTGAAGATGGAGCCTCGAACTTTCTGAAATCTTTAAATTCAATTTTGGAATCAAAGGAGTTTGGAAACTCACGCTTTTGAAGATGTAACAGAATCACTTCGAATTGGACGAAGTCTTGGTTTCTCTTTGACTTCTGGAGGAACAAAAGGAGCTGGAGCAGAACTTCGTCGGATTTGAATACAGTTTGCCGGGTCTCCAGAAGCTGATAAACTTTCTCGAATCTCTTGAAGAGCCATCAACATTGTTATCACTTTTTCATCGTCTTGTCTTTGATAAAGCATTTCTCCTTCGAAGTGGACAAGTCCGTATTTTCTGGCTCGAATCAGCATTCCTACTAGCTGGAAAAATTCTTCAATCCGAACTTTCCAGATAATTCCGAATCTCACCTTATCCGAATAGAACGAATAAATATTGAAAAGCTTCCCGAATTTTACCCATTTGTGTGGTTCTTCGCCTTCTGCATTCTGATCGATCGTCTCACACAGAAATAAAATTTCTCGACAGACATGAACTCCTGCCTAGAAAATAAGATATTAACTCATTATTCAAAATCGGAACTGTAGAAGTTCCGGTGGCTGTGCCCGAAGGGTTCCCCAATTACAACTACCGTAACCCCAAACAAGTCGGAAAATAAAAGTTTTTAATAGTGAAAAAGTTGACTGAAAACGCACGAAGTCGAGAAAAAAAATACGAAAAATAAAAATATTATTATTATATTACGGTAGTTGTCTTTGTGAAAACTCACGGCCACCAGCGTTCCTCTTCCACAGCTCCGATTTTTTTGTACCAGAATAATATTGAAAAAGCTCAAAAAGCTAATTTTGTTTACCTTTACTCCTCTAGCTTCAGTTTTACTTCCAGGAGGTGGTCTTCCATAGTTTTTAGTATCAAACTGCTGTATTTTATAAGTATCAGAATATGGATTTCTGAAAATAAACTTTTCGAAAACTTTTCTCAAACCAAAAATTCAACTTTTTCAATGTTTCTTCATTTGCCTGTGCAACTGCATTGAATTTTCTGATAGTGTCACTGGCTGATCCGATAGGCATTGGAGGCTGAAATTGATTGAAAAAAATGAGAAAAGAAAATTGAAAACAGAGAGAAAAGAGAGATGAGATCTCGAGGATCTCACACTTTACACAAACTCTTTCTGGTGAAAAACAAGAAAGATACGAGGAGCTAAAAATGATTTTTCTTTTCTTTCTAGACAATATTGGAGCAACAGAGCAATATCTAAAAATAATTGCTCATGAGTTTGAACATAATAAACAATTTCCGATTTGAACATTTTCTTGAACAAATAACTTAAATAAGTGTGGTGAGTCATTCAGAATGTCTCATAATTTGTGAGATTATTTTCTCAAAAAATAAAGATTATTTGAAAATGATTCAGTAATATTTAATATTTGAAAATGATTAAGTAAATGATTCAGTTAGTATATAACAAGTAGTGAATTTCAAAGTTTTAATTTTCACATCAAAGTACTGAAATTTCAAAAATTTTCGTGAGCCACGTGAATCTTTTGAATCTCCCAAAAGATGGACCGTTAAGTTTTTGGGAGCAACGTGTTTTTTCAACAAATATAACAGAAATATTAACACTTTCTGAATATTTTTCCCACAATTAAAACTTTTGAAAATCACTACTTGTTATATATAAATCTGGTTTAAAAATCGGAGTTCTGGAAGAAAAACGCCGTTTTCCGTATCCGAAGCTCCTACAACAACAACTACCGTAATAGTTTTCTTTTCCGGATTTACTTTCTCGTTTTTAACTGTGTTTCGGCAAGTTTTCTGTTAATTTCCCCCAAGCAGGTCAGAAAATAAAAACGTTTTGGCATTGAACATTGACGGAAAACGCATGAGAATCGGAATAATAAATCCGAAAATAAAACTATTGTTAGGTTACGGTAGTTGCCGGTGTGGGACCTTCGGCTACGGTCCCCGGCATTTCTCTTCCACCGCTCCGATTTTGCATACCAGCATAATATTTAAAAATGATTCAGTTTTGAAAAATATCTCAGAGCTTACCTTGTTCTCTTGTAGTCCTGGCATGATCCTGTCGAGTAACTCTCAAACTACCAAGCTCCACTTTCAATATCCAAGGATATCCCAATTTTTTTTGTAAAAGTGATAAGTTTAGCCAGTAACAAAAAAGTAAGAGGCGCTCATTTTCGCGACGATCCAGGAGTCTCTGCGTCTCAATGTCCTACACACTCTCTTGTTGTTCAAACATAAAACAATGCACACACACAATATGAAAACGGCTATTTTTGACAGAAGTCAACTGGAAGAAAAAAAACCAAGTTAAGTTGCTCAACGTATTTCGAAAATTGGTGTTTGAGACATGAAAATAACAATAAGAAGCAATGTTTGTGGTGTCCTGGGATGGAACTCCGAAGAAAGATTCTGAGAAAAGTGAAGCAAGAATTCTGAAACCAAAAACATAATTTATTTCATTGGAAATATTCATTAATTCTTTTTTGTTTCAGTATGACTATTCTCCAACGGAGACACGGTTAACTTTTCGAACTTCCAGATTCTCACTCAGTCTGGAAGAAAAATGCGGTAAACTTTGTAATAGAAGGCCATCCTATACATGCACTTTGAACTCAATTATTTCACTTCCTGTAAGAGATATCGAAATTTTGTCAACAAATAAAATGCTTGCAATAATATCACCAACACTTTATCAGCTGACAGATTTTTGATATCTCTTACAAGAAGTGATATAATTGAGCTCAAAGTGCAAGTATAAGGTTACCTTCTGAGAGAAAATGTTTACGGTGTTCTTTCAATAAAATTGTAAAATCATTGAGTCGCAACACAGTTGAACAAAACATTTTTGAATATAAATTTTCAACTTTCGTTGTTATGTTTATCCATCTACGTCAGGATTTTATTTGGGTCTCCCCCCATAATAAAAACTGCAATATCAAACTTTAATCAGAAGCCATGTGATTCTTTCTTATCAGCAAAAAGTTCGAAAACTCTTCAGACTTCACAAGTGACAGAAGTGAACTTTTCCATGAAAAAATAAAGATGAAAGGTAAAAACAGAGAATTAGGTGGAAAGAGGACGATTCTACTTTTTACGATCGACGACTGACATTCCTATCAACATTCAAAAAAGATAAAAACATGTACATTGTTAGGCAACTGTTTTCTATTCAAGACGATCACCGCTTATTTCCAAAATGTGTGGAATATTCGGAATTGTTGCGGCTGGAAAATGTGACAATCTGAATATTCTTGCTGCTAATGGGCTTGCCTCTCTCCAACACAGGTTTGACTTTTTTTTTCGCGAAATTCAAAAGGAACAGGGTTTATATTTTCGGTGAAGAAATTCGTAGACCCTGTAGAATATTTGAAAAAATGTAAACTTCCTAATTGTATCCAAGCCAGTTTAGTCTGACTAGATGTCAATGGAGAAGTTGTCAGTATTGCGTCTGAATGAATTCGCTGAATCATCAACATTGGATTACACATTGACAATTGGATGAAAAGACGCGTAGGCGAGTTTGAACTCGCGACCCACAAATGAAAGAGAACAGTGTTCACCGCGAGGCTACTCTCCCTCTTTCTTTCATTGCGCCTAGTGTGGTTGACATGTCTGCGGCATCGCTGCTTTGTGTGATGTTCTGGGAACGCGATTGCAATACTGACGCAGTGCATTAGTTCGATGGCGTTGGTTCTCCATTAGGACATTTTCTTATTTATATCCAAATTCGTAATAAACGGAAACGTTTGACCGTCCTTTTTATAATTTCGTTATCATCTAATTGTAAGTTAGAATAATGTTATTGTACAGGATGGAACACAATTACCCCAGCTGATAAAATTGGGTATATCTTTAGGCATAAGTTTCTTGGAAGCACGAAAATCGGTAGAAATATAATTTGAAATTTGATTCAAAGCTACTGAAATTTTCGAAGCGAAGTCTCAAGTCTAGGTATTGTTATGATTGTCAAGCGATAACTCAGCTCAAAATTGATCAAACACTTGATCCGTTTACTGATGAATTATTTGAATTTTGAGCTCCTAAAAAAACTACAAACTTTAGTCCGGGTAATTAAGCGCCACCGTATAATTTTCAGAGGTACAGAATCATCTGGATTGGTTGGATCCGACGGAGTTACTAGAGACCATGTAGAAATCATAAAAGGACACGGACTCGTTCGAGATGTCATCACTGAAGACAATATTTCGAAAATGGATGGCCAGTCTATTATAATTGGACATAACAGATACTCGACAGCAGGAAAAAAGAAATCAGGCATCAATTGTGTTCAACCATTTGTAGTTTATACTGCAATGGGGACAGTTGCAATTGCTCATAACGGAGAGTTAGTCGATGCGAAACAAAAAAGAACAGAAGTTCTTCATGAAGGCGTTGGACTATCAACGGACACTGATTCTGAACTCATTGCTCAAATGATTGCTAAGGCGATTGCTTTGAATGTTAAGTGCAAATATGGACAGGATATTGGAGATATTACTCGGGTAAGACTAACTCATCGGCTATCTTATCATTCTTGATCTTTTAAGGAATTGGCTGTTACGATGTCCGCTTTGAACATGTCTTATTCCCTTCTTGTTATGACATTTGATAGGCTTTATGCAATTCGTGACCCTTTTGGAAATCGTCCGCTCTGTGTTGGTACTGTAATTTCAAAAGACGGAAGCCCACAAGCCTACATCGCATCTTCTGAATCTTGTGCATTACCTGCAAATGCTAAACTTGATTTTGAAGTGAGACCTGGTGAAATAGTGGAACTGTCCGCTGATGGAATTAAGTCTGTATGGCAGGTATGGTAATTGAATTCACCCAACTATAGTTTCGGGTTGAAAATCGAATTTAATCTTTCCAGATGAAGCCAAATACACCTCTGGCAATGTGCATTTTTGAATATGTATACTTTGCACGGAATGATTCCGAAATAGAAGGACAACAAGTTCAAACTGTTCGAGAAGAATGTGGCAAAACCATGGCACTAGAGGATGATATAGAAGCAGACATCGTTGGAAATGTTCCAGATTCTTCTTTGAGTGCTGCGATTGGATATGCATCGCAGTCAGGTATCACCTATGAACCAGTTTTGCATCGGAATTCCTACGTTGGTAGATCATTTATCCAACCAAACGATGAGATGAGACAAAATGCTATAAAAATTAAATTCGGTAAATAATTTCAAAAAAATGAAGTGTTTAGAGAACGACTTTTGTAGGTGTGTTGAAGAAGAAGGTTCAGAATCAGAGAATCGTTTTGGTGGATGACTCGATTGTACGTGGAAACACTATGAGAACATTGGTGAAGATGTTGAGAGATGCTGGAGCGAAAGAGGTGTGTTTTCTGATAGCTCTTATAAATTTATTTGAAAATTCTGATTTTCAGGTACACCTAAGAATCGCTTCGCCTCCTGTCAAATTTCCTTGTTTTATGGGAATCAATATTCCGACAAGTCAAGAATTGATAGCTGCTCAAAAAAGCATTCCTGAAATTTGCGAATACGTTGGAGCTGATTCTGTTCGGTACCTTTCTGTCGACGGTTTGGTTTCGGTAACTAAATATTTAAGTTCAATATAAACCCAACAGAATACGGTTTCAGTCGGTGCAGAAAGGAATAGAACGAACTACAAACTTCTCGCCGGGACACTGCACAGCGTGTCTGACTGGAAAATACCCAGTTCCTATTAATATCTGAATCACTAAATAATTGATACTTGTTTTTTATTGAAAGATCAACAATGGAAATGAATAAAAATAAATCAAAACACAACAGAAATACTGTAACAAAAACAACAAATTGATAAGATGTTCACAAACTCTTCTTCTTTCCGCGACCTTTAGTGATGGTCTTCTTCTCAACAGCGGCTGGACGAGCGCTTGCCGCAACGGATTTCATAATTGTCTGTAATTTTCCTAATTAGATTCAGGAATCGTTCACTATCTCACCTTGGAGAGAGTAGATTTGGCAACTGGAGTACCGAGAGCTGCAGCCTTTGCAGCACGGGTTTTTGGAGAGAAGACAGGTTTCTCCGCCACTTTTTTGATTTTATCCGTTTGAGGAGTTTTGATCACCACTTTCTTCGCTGCTGCAACTGGAGTGACAGCTTCGACGGCTTTTCGTTTTGGCGTCTCCGATTTTGGAGTTGCGACTTTTGGAGTGATTTTCGGTGCCACTGCCTTCGGGGTATTAACTTTAGGAGTGGATGGCTCGATGACTTTTGATGTAGTTTTCTTTGGAAAGTTAGTCTTTGCTGATCCGATGACCTGAATGTCATTGTCCTCGGAATTCTTCGGTAGTGTTTTCTTAACTCCAGCCGCAGAGAAGTCATAATCGATACCCATATTTTGCAATTTGACAATCGTCTTTTTGAGGTTGCTCACACGTCTCTTAGTATTCTCCGAATCATTCTTGGTAGTGCACCTGTTTCTAGCAATCGCATCCTTCTTTGCGAGACCCAAATATGATGGACGCATAACAAGAAGGGATCCTTTCAGCATTGATTTCGGAATGAGAGCTGGCTTCATGACCTGAAAAAATCGTTATTTGGTGTTTAAAAATATTCAGTTACTTTGCAACGGAGGCGTTGTTCAAACATCAAATATCCATTCATTGATTCAGCGGCGATTTCAGCAACAGCTTTGTTATCAAATCCGACATAAGCCCAACCTTTATGATTTCCAGTCTTAAATTTCACTTTTATAAAGGTCATTTAATTCAAAGCTTACCTTTCGGCTTCTGGCGACACGGATTCTCAGAACGTTTCCAAACTGACGGAAATAACCGAGCAGCTCTCTTTCGAAGAATCCAAACGGAATACGTTGCAGTTTAACAACCCAAATCTTTTTTTGAGGTTTCTTCTGAGCTTTATCCTGTTTTTGGGCAGGTTTGCGAATTCCGGCGCTGATTGCGGTGGGATTCTGGACAACCATCGCGAGTGAGATCTGGAAAAATCTGTCACGACATTTTTTTAAAACAATAATCTTTAATTAAGAGTGCAAGACATGTCAAAATTGAATTTAAAATTTAAAAACGAGGTCAAAATCTCTTGTGCGAAAAAGTTTTTTTCGCCGTTGGTTTCTTGGCGCATTACTCGACGTTGGCGCGTTTTTTTCTCGCGAGAAGATGCAAACAAACAACAATGTTGTTTCATCTTTTTCCCATAATATTTTGGGTTGTTTGACAATTTCTGATCTCTTATTCTGATCAATCAGTTCTATATTATTATCTAGCATTTTCTATTTGCAGTTTCATTTTTAAGTTCATTAAAAACGCACGGGTCCGCTGTATTTCTGATGCAACGGACCAGAAATTCACAGAAAAATTTTATTCAGGAGATTTCTGCAGTAATTCTGAAGTTTTGTTTTATGCCGCGTTCAAAGTTGATTTCCAGAAGTAATTTCCTGGAAAAACGCTGTCCAAAGCTGCGATTGTTTTCCAGATTTACAGCAACAGTAAACTACCGTATCACTCGTTTTGACTGTGTTCTTCCTGTTGATTCATGTCGATTTACGGCGGGTCTCGAAGCGGAGGCCTCTGGAAAACAATGGCAGCTTTGGACAGCGTTTTTCCAGGAAATTATTGTCGGATTAAAAAAGTGACACCTGAAAATCTAGGAGACGGCGCTCGTGTCGATTTACGAGGGGGCGGCGCGAGAACGGATACTGTAGATAACAAATTTATTCATGGGAATTTAGTGGGATTTTCTGTACAAAAGTTTGATTTCTTGATATAAAAATGATCGCTAGCATCTCTAGAATCTATTTTTAAGCAAAAAGCTAAAATTAAACACGAAAGTAGCTCGAACGAGACGAAATTCTGAAATATTACGTTTTTGCCGCACTTTTTCGTAGATCAAAAAAAGCAAAAGTTTTCAAATTGACAGGTGTCACTTTTTTAATTCGACAATACTCCTGGAAATCAACGTTGAACGCGCCATTACAGTACACCTGTTACATATCGTGTCAGAACCCATCTTTCCGAAGAAACTTTCCTTTGAAGTGCTACGGTAATACTGTAGATCGAATTTCAAAAGAATGTTCTTCATTCAGAAAAATTTTGACATTCGTATCTCTTCTTTGTCCGTTAACCCTCAAATCTACCAATTACCCCGTTATGAGACCGAAAATTTTCTCATGAATTCTGTTTTTTTTCCACCTCAATATCTAGTAAAACTTTTTCCAGGAGGTTAACGAAGGATGAGTGATTCGGATGATAATACATACGACGATTATCTCGAAAGTCGCAGAGCTGCTATTCAAAAGAAGCGGAAACCGGTCGCAGTGTACGAAAGTGATTCAGACGATGACTTTCCTGTGAAAAAAACAGAACCCAACAAAAAAATGCGGAGTTATGAGCCGAATGGTGATTCTGATGACGACTCAATTTTCGAGGAAGTTAGAAATCACGATGAAGTTATGACTGATAAACTGGACAATCTCGAAGAAGGTTGGAAAAGTGAAATTGTGGTGAATCATAATTCTTACTTCTTACAGAGTATCGCAGGGAACTTACGAACTCAAAACATTCAGTGTTGCATGTTCAAGGCACAACGAATGACTATCTCACGAAAACAATGGAGAAGGTTGGAGCGTTCCTAGAACCAGAGAAGCAGATAGAAACAGAAGATATTTGTATTGATAAGGCAGATACGGTGAGCTGTTGAATGACATATGTAGAACTTGATTCAAACATTGCTATATTCCGATATTAAATATGTCAACATCAACTTTCAGAGTTCTACGCAGAAAGAGTCAACAACTGTGAGAGTGGTCATCAATGATTGCGAATCCCGGATCAGCAAGAGAAATTGCCGCGATATGGACATACATTCGACCTTCGCCGAAGTTCGGAAGGAGCTCTCTCTCAAATGGATGTGCCACTTTAACGAGGTTCATCTCATGTACAACGGCAATAGAATCGGCGATGTAACACCACACGAACTCGGAATCGTTCCGTTTCAAGTTCCTCTTCCAGAATTTGACGCGATACGGGAAGAGAAAGAAAGACCCTCCAATGTCATCTCTCCAAAAGTGATAACCATAGAAACAGTGTCTGACGCAATATCGATTAAAGTCCAAATGAAGAATCGGAAGAAACCAATTCATCTCTCTGTCACAGAAGAAACGACTGTCGAGGATATCATGAAAAAAGTGATCGAATCACTAGCTGGCGATGCTAGCATTCCATCTCTCAGCAAGATGAAGGCAATGTTCGACGATGAGTATTGTGAAAACTCTCAGACATGCAAAGATTTGGGTCTCGAAGACGCTGATTGCATTGACATCTACTACTAGTCCTCACCACCACGGTTTCCCAATGTTCCATTTTTTGTGAATCCCTCTTATACTGATCTAATTCTCATATTTTTGCTTCGTATCTCACCATTTCTGTCATACACTTTTTTCTCTTAATACTTGGACCCTTATTATTCAGTTCAGTTTCCCCGTTTTCCTCGTTTTCCCTTTAAGGCTTGTAAAATGAACAACTACGGCTTCAGAAAACATCCTCTTTTTCTTTTTAAAACAGGGTTAAAGCCCTCATACCGTCATTTAGAGAACGATTGTTTTGTACTTTAAATTTTGTTATTAAATAGTTTGCCAATTTTTTCCAGACTGAAAACCATGTCCAACACTCGTCCACCGAAAATAGATGAGCTGCTGAAAGTTGACCCATATTTGCATGATTTTCAAGACGAAATTTCGCGCAGATATGGAGTTTTCCTTGATTATCAGCGTCGCATTGAGGAATGTGGAGGCATGGAGGCATTCACCTCATCATACAAGCAATTTGGTTTGAACGTGCAACCGGACAATTCTGTGAAAGGACTTGAATGGGCTCCTGCAGCTGAAAAACTGGCTCTCATTGGAGATTTCAGTAAGTATTAATTGCGCTAATCTGACGTTTTTTTGTAATTATCTCTTATTCTAGATAATTGGGATCAAGACGCCAATGTTTATACCAAAGAAGAGCATGGAAAATGGAGTGTCACAGTCCCCGCGAATGCTGATGGATCATGTGCTATTCCACATAATTCGGTCATCAAAATTGCAGTCTCGCGTCACGGTCAAACTTACTTCAAACTGAGTCCATGGGCTACTTATGTGACTTGCCCGAATCCCAAAGAAACAGTTATCTATCATCAGAATTTTTGGAATCCATCCGAAAAATATCAGATGAAAGAGGCACGTCCAGCCCGTCCAGCGTCGCTCAGAATCTATGAAGCACATGTTGGAATCAGCAGCCACGAAGGAAAAATCAACACTTATCGTGCATTTGCCGACGAAGTCCTGCCTCGCATCAAACACCAGGGATACAATACTATTCAGTTGATGGCTGTCATGGAGCATGTTTATTATGCCTCTTTTGGTTATCAAGTTTCGAATTTCTTCGCTGTGTCCAGTCGATGCGGAACACCTGAAGACCTGAAATATCTGGTCGATAAGGCGCATTCGATGGGAATTTTCATGCTTCTCGATGTTGTGCACTCTCATGCTTCCAAAAACGTCGAAGACGGTCTCAATCAATGGGATGGATCAAATGGTGGATATTTCCATGATAATGCTCGTGGTTTCCACAATCTTTGGGACTCGAGACTGTTTGACTACACTCAGTAAGCAAGACGCAAACTTAAATTGAAAACACTTCCAAACCTTCAGAATTGAGACCCTCCGATTCTTGCTCTCGAACGTTCGTTGGTGGGTAGAAGAATACGGTTTCGATGGATTCCGCTTTGATGGAGTTACCTCGATGATCTATCACTCACATGGAATGAGTTAGTTCTATAATTTCATACTTTTAATAACATCACATCTTTCCAGACGACTCGTTCTGTGGCGGATATCCCATGTACTTCGGATTGAATGCCGACACCGACTCACTTGTCTATCTGATGCTGGCCAACGACTTCCTTCATAAGAAATATCCATTCATGGTGACAATCGCTGAAGAAGTTTCCGGAATGCCAGGCATCTGTCGTCCTGTTGAAGAAGGTGGTCAGGGATTCGATTACCGCTTGGCAATGGCTCTCCCAGATATGTGGATCAAGATTCTGAAGCATACTTCGGATGAAGATTGGAAAATCGAAGATATCGTTTTCAATCTGGAGAACAGACGTTACGCAGAAAAGCACGTTGCCTACGCCGAGTCTCATGATCAAGCTTTGGTTGGAGACAAAACTATTGCATTTTGGTTGATGGACAAGGAAATGTATGACTTTATGTCAACTGACTCACCACTCACACCAATTATTGACAGAGGTTTGGCACTTCACAAGCTTATCCGGCTTATTACAATCGGATTAGGTACCGTATCCATCAACAATTTTGAATCATATAACACTAATGCTTTTCAGGAGGCGAAGCTTGGCTCAACTTTATAGGAAACGAATTCGGTCACCCTGAATGGCTTGATTTCCCTCGTGTTGGAAACGGAGAATCGTTCCATTATGCACGTCGTCAGTTCAACCTCGTTGACGCCGATTACCTTCGCTACAAGTTCTTGAACAATTGGGATCGAGAAATGATGCTTCTCGAAGAACGTACCGGATTCCTTCATAAGGGATACGCCTACACATCTTGGAAGCACGATGGCGACAAAGTTGTTGTATTCGAAAGAGGAGGTTTGGTGTTCGTGATGAATCTTCACCCGAACAAGAGCTTTGCTGATTACTCGATCGGTGTCAACACCGCGGGAAAGTAGGGAAATCTTGCTATATCCACGAATTCATTCAATGAATTTTTCAGATACCGCATTGCTTTGAACTCAGATGATGCCCAGTTTGGAGGACACAGCCGTGTGGACAATGGCACTGTTTTCCACACTTCCGATGATGGTTATGCCGGAAGACGCCATCGTCTACAGGTCTATATCCCGTGCCGTTCAGCAATCGTTCTCGAGAAGGTTGATGAATAGACACTGATTTTGGGTTACTTTGCTCAAACATTTTTCAAGTTTCTAACACTTGCCATATACCCATACGAGATTTTTATTCCCCGGTTAGATAACATTTTCATTTTCTGGTGCCATTTCAATTGTTCTTGTATTCTACCTCCATTATTATCCTCATAATTTGTTAGTTTTATATTGCATGCACAGAAAACAACTAATTAAATAGATGAAGAATAAGAGTAAAAAGCAGACTAGAATTTTCAATAAGCTATGTTTGGTTCAACTACCATTTTGACTTTATTCGATCAGAACATTCGGTTCTTCTTTCTAGAGGGGGTTTCTAGATTTTCAAGTGCAATGTGCATTACAGCTTTAATATGCTGCGATTGGCGGTGGGAATTCAGAGACGAAGTTTATTCGGATCTCTTCCATGTAGCAGTCAACAAGATCATTATAAAGTTCTGGGACTTGCCCAATCAGCAACACAAAAAGAAATTAAATCAGCGTACTATAAACTGTCGAAACAACACCATCCAGATACCAATCCAGAAAATAAGGAAGATGCTGCAAAAAAGTTTCATCAGGTAAACATTTTTAGAAATATCTAACGAAGGGACAGCTTCTAGGTTGCAATGGCATACGAAGTACTGAGTTCTGAGGATAAACGAAAAGCCTATGATACGACGAGGATCACAACATCACCCATGCCTGGCGATGCTTCTTTTAGCAATCGTTATCGTCGACGATCAGCCACCAAGCAGTACACTGATATTGACATTGATTATAAAGATTTCGAACATTTTCAACGGAGCACAAGGCGAAGACCACAATATCATTCGCATTTCGATATGCCTAATGAATTCTATGCAGAATTCGGTGGGTTCAAAAAACGGGTATTCAAGAGTGAATATGAAGCTGCTCAGGAAAAGGTTCGTTTCCGATAATCATGTTATCATTTTTAATGTAATATAGGTTATTTTAGCATGGTTCGATGTACAAAGATGGTAGAGCTGCGCAACGAGAAATGGAAGAACTTCGACGGCAGGTAGAACGGGAACAAGCAGCTCAGCAGGCTCGGTATCCAATTCCAACCTTCGAGCAAATGATGAGAGAAAAACGAGCAAAAGAAGCGAACGAAGCTAAACAATACATGGCTGGAATGTTCGTGACTGCCATTGTTGCTGGATTTTTAACTGTACTATTGACTCGTTAGATTTTTTCACTACTTTCGGCGATTTTTGTTGTTGAGCTTAGATATTCGATAGGTATTTCAATTTCAATTCGGTTAATATAAATAGTTGATTGTTTAAAAACGTGAAGGGTCTTCTAGATGTACCGACATTTCCCGGGTTCCGCAGGGGCTCTTACGGAAATACGAGGCAATATTCTAGCAAGTGAGACTATAGCAAATGATCTTCGAGCTAATGAGTATTTTATTAGATCCTTTCCGGAGTTTCATTTGCTGAAATCTTCCGCTAGTTTGCTAAAATCATTTATGATGTGAACAACGGAAACCATTTCAAAATATTTACTTGATAAAAATAATTTAAAGTTAATGTTTTAAGAGAATATATTCTTGGCTCGCCAATCGAGAGCATCGAGATCAATTTCCTCGTCGTCATCCGAGTCATCTTCTGGTGCTTCTTGTTTCAAACGTCGTTCTTTTGCCTGATTAATCCGCTTCTCTTTCTGAATTTCCATACTATTCAGCTTTTTGAGAGCCGCCATTTGCTCATCAATTCTTTCTAGTTCAAGTTCCCTTTGTACAGCTGCTTCATGCTCTTCTGCCTTCGCATCCTGATCCATTTGCTCTTCTCCTATTTCCTCTTTCCATCGTTCGTACTCAGCGTCCAATTCCGCATTTCTTTCACGGGTTTCTTTAACATTTCCATCCAAACGCTTGTCATCAAAAAACCCAGCAGGAACGCCTTCAATTAGATTCCCGGTGTGACTACTAACAGCTGACTTGAACTCTTCTTTTCGGAATGGGGTGCTGAAATATAAAACGGTTTCAATGAGATCCAATTCAATCAGACTACCTACCTATCTTCTTCATCAAAAAAGTCAGTTGGAAGTGAGGTTGGACCTTGTTTAGGAATTTCTTTTTGCCTTTTGTTCGGTGGTTCACCTGAACTACTCTGTCCCACTTCTTTTCCACGCTTCTGAGCACTGGATTTCAACTTTTCGATGCTTTCTCTGTGCTTCTTTCCGTTCACGTGAGCAGTCCAAATTTTGGGTTTGACCTCGGCATTACATACCAAGCATTGAATGTTACCATTCGGCTTATGCTTGGCAATCATCGGATTGAGACTCATCTGAAACATAACGAATTTTTAAAGATGATTCATTTGCAGCAGAATGTTAATCTTTAACATGGTCTCGAAGGTATTCGACTGTTTTCAAACAGTTGAGACAGAAACTGGACAGCAATGAATTACTTTACAAAATGCTTTATAAAAAAGATATTAACCGATTGACAAAGTATACCCGAAAGTTAAACAAGATTCGCTATGATGAAAAAAGACAATGGGGGAAAAAGACAATAGGTTTGCTTCCATAATTACAATTTTACTGGATCGAAATCAAACTTGCAAGTCGAATCAACGCGTAGAATGTATGGACCTTTCTCGCCAGCCTGAAAATAGATCATTTATTTCTGAAATTATCGATGAATTCCTACAGTGTATGTAGCAGCTTTCACATAGTAAGTTCCCGCTGGAACTTTATCAACGGTGAGCACAGTATACCCTGGACGATAAGCTCCAGTACTTTTCGTCTCGAGAAAAATGGTACGGTCCGAAGAATGCTGTTTCATTTCCAAATTGACACAAAATTGTTTTGGAGCTTTCAGCTCCATAAACAGAGAATTATCATCTGTCTTCGAATGGAGAACGAGCTTCATAACAGGGTGCCTGAAGATGAATTGTTCGCTGTCAGAAATTGATTATATGTTACAACTCACTTTTCAGAGCCATCCCAGTTACCACGTGTAGTTTTTGTGATTGTATACGGCAATTTTACAGGTTCCAAGATGATATCCGTAGTGGAGAATACACGAAGGGAATAATTGATTGTGTTTGTCTTTTCATATTGAGCAACTACTAGTGTATAATTATTGATGCCCGGTTTCGTATCAAGCAGCTGGCATAGATAAAGAGGACTGTTAATTCGAACACCATCAGAAATTGGACGAGGATTGGCTGGAAATAGTATGTCTTAAACTTCTGTGATTCAATTGACTATGCTTACTGGGAATATAAATTTTTTGACCAGTTTCATAAACGATCAAAGTGATAAATTCTTTGTTGACTGCAAAGTCATCGATAGCCGTAATATGACGAGTCAATAGAATCCAAACAGCAGCAGCTGTAGTCTTCTCATTCAGTTTCACAGTTAACTTGTATTGAGGATTATCACCGACGGTATAGACATCTCTTACTGGACCAGTGTCTTGTTTCCAAGTTGCATGATAAACAGATGTGAATGGGAACAAATCGGCGTTCCAGTTCACATAAATGACGTCGAAGAAGTGTCGAACAGATTCGTAATCAATCCAGAAGATCCCATCATCTTTCGTTGCTGCTACTTCTGGATCATATACCAATGAGCTCTTCATTTTGGTAGTCCAATTTAACTTGTCTTTTTCGGAGAAGTTGCCCTTCCAACGAGAGTGCGTCCATGGATTTTTCACCTTCAATAGTCTTTTGTTCTGAAAATGAACATTTATTGATACCTCACATTAATAACTGCACCTCAACACTTCGTATATCGATGACTGCATAAGCATGCGTTTCCACTAGTCCAGAGCGTTTTTGCATTTCTTCCGTCATTTTACCAGTAGCCAAGGTAATCAAGCAATCCCCGCGATGGAATCTGTCGAACAGTTTTCGGAATATAGCGTCAGGATCAGCTTTATTGGATTCGTTCAATTCGATTCTTTCTGGTATCCATCCGGTTAATGCATTTAGGTCAATGTTCTGAAATATTCCAACTTCTAAATATCAAGACACCCAAATTATCCTTACCGAATTAGATCCAGGAAAATCATATCCACCCATAACCTTCATGTATGCTTTCTCGAGGAGAGACACCCAAAGCTCTCCTTTATTTTCAGTTTGGGAACACATCATGCGATTATTTTCATCAACAGGAAAATAGTCATCAATAACTACCTTTCTCCAAACACCGTTGATGTGAAATTTGATCATGTACTTTCCTGCTGGGTTGTAAATTGGTTTTCCGTGTGCATCTTGTGGATAAATGATGCTGAAGAGAGAATTTAAGACTGATTATCTAATTTAAAAGATACCTTGTAACAAGTTGCTTTTTGAAACGCTTCTCGTAAAGAGCTGCAATAGATAGTGAAGAAATGAAAGAACAATCAGAAATGACGGTCTGTTTGATGGTATTACAGTCAATAGAAGAAATGATGGTTGGGTGCTCGAATAGATCACTGACACGTTTCCATCCCTGAAAAATTTGACATCAGGTATTCAACTTTGCTAACGGTTCACCTTCAACTTCAGTCTTTGTTTTTGAGTCAAGCCAATATGTCCATCTGGATCGGTGAATTTACCATTCTGTCCTTTGAATTCATTCACTTTATCGTAACTATGAAACGGAACGTAGAGTTTACCATTGATGTTTGAGGTTGTTGAGAGCACATCAAGCTCCTCTTTTGTGAACTTTTGAGAGTTAGAAGGTGAAGGAGGTACCGGAACTTGACGGGTTGTTTTAAACGGCTGGTGATTTGTGGAAGGTGACGGTGTCGAATGTTCGGAAATGTTCAATTTGGAGAGATCTGTGAATAGGAGAATCGCATCAGTCCAAAGATGATGTCTTACCGTCGACGGGAACTTCTGGGAACAGTAGTTCGACTTCAGTAACCTTCTTTTTCAGAGTGACCAGATCTTCTATACATTTCAAAGCTCCTTCTGCTGTGACTCTCAACCTTTTTAACGTTTCTTGTGGGAGTGCACGATTCTTAGAGGCACCGAGACATTGCTCAACTACAGATTCATATATTTCTCTTGATTCATCCAGTTGGTCTTCACAGCTTTGAAACACTGAAGCTTTTATCATCAAAAAATCAACATTATGAAGGATATCATCTCTTGAAGGCGGGTACTGCAAATCAAGAATGACAATTGAACCGAAAATTTGTTTTTTCCTACCTGTAGTTGCAAATCCTGGATATTAGACTTCAAAAATTCAGCTCTATTGATACATTCCATAACGTTTTTGCGAAAAATGGATAAACATTTTTTCCCTTGAACCAGTTTCAAAAGTTGATTTCCAGCTTCAGTGTAGCAGAATATTGCCTCTTCATACTTTTTGCCCTGAATCATACCTTTGAATTTCGAAATATCAGATATTATTGCTATTGCTTTTCGCATAATTTGAGAATTAGGCTATAAAATTGTACCTGATCGTAATAAATGGCTTTCTGCGAAAGCTCCAACGCTGATTGTGTTGCTTTCTCATCCATGCGCTGAAAAAAAAGAAAATTATTGGAGGAAACTGAAATATTGAAAAATACCGAAAATTTTCTGAAAATAATCAAAAAATGTCTGCTCTCTCTTGATTCGCACAGTATTTCGCAAATTTTCTATAGAGCGCACATACGGATCGAACATTTTTTTTCCGAGACCCCGCAAATTCCGGGGAAAAAAAAACCGGGGAAA